TCATTCATTTCCATATTTATCAATAGACTCACATGCAAAACACAGCATTGCCTAATTGGACAGATCCCAGTAAGAGTGGTGAACTATACTCTGTTTCAAACAGATCTCGTATCATACAGCTGTTCACAGTTGAAAAGACTTTAAAAATTATATTTTCCAGATTGCGAAATTCATCTAACCCAAAATCTTTATTTCTAGGCCCCTATTTATTCCATAAAACTGTAAACGTGATAATTTATTCCCCCGTCCCTTATTGCAAGGGAATGGTAAAACAAGCTTAGGGTGGTTGCATGCTTTTCAGCATAGCTACTTCAGTAATTCCTAGATAGCTAATTTGTATTAGCATGAGATTATTCCACTAACAAGGCTTAAATTAATCTATTGCAAAAGTACTGCCTCAGAGAGTTGCCAACAATCTGACCAGCAACACATTCATTTTTTCCCCTCAACTCACTGTTTACTTTCCAGCTCCACCATGCTCACTTAGCACTAAGTAGCTTAATTTTCTTCCATTACTTCTATATTACTTCTATTAGTTCTTCTATTACTTTCTTCTATTACTTCTGGGATTTTTTATCATCATAAATTTTGTCCTTTCAGTGCTGTGTAACTTCTTTGCCTATACTCTAGCTTCTCTCTTATTCATCCACTTAAGTGAACACTACATCATTTAGATTAAATATATCTTTCCTGATGATCTTTTACTATGCCTCTATTTCTCTTGCACCTCAACTAATAAGAGTGATATATAGTTCTCACTTTGGCATCAGCCAACAATTGATCACAGTGTTCTGTTCAAATACAGACAGCAAGTACTATTACAAACTCCCTATGCCAGAGATTTATATGGTGGTGACATGACTGGATTCCACTCCTACCATGAAATTTCACAAGAAGAGTGTCACATGTAATAAGTCAAATTTTTTCCAATATAAATTATATCTTATGGTGTTACAGCTGAAAACCACAGTATAAAATTGCTCAAGCTGACACTGCAAAAATATGCTTCAGCTTGCCTTTGGAATTCAAAGTCTTAAATTGCACTGTTCTTGGCAAAAAAAATTGTGGAATTCTCCTTAAGCCTGGTTTTTATTAAATCTGATTAATGTCTGAACACAAAAAGATAACATTATTCCCCAAAGTAGGTGGCATTTCCTTAAGTGAGAAATAATGCTAATTACTGTAAAACCATTACTGACAAATCTTATTGTAATCATTCAGATTCAAAAGAGATTAATACCACGTTTTAAAGGCTGTGTAAACTTTTGACCAATATTTTCTTTTCCTACTCAAACTACACAATGATGTATTGTCTTAACAGTAGAAAGTTTAAGCCTAGCATTAAATTGATTCATCAATCAGTGCCAGATTTTCTTTTCTTGCAGTTTTATGGCAGGTCAAGAAAGTAATTCACATTAAACTGCATAATTAGCTTCCCATGTAAAAAAGCCAGGAGAAACACTGGTAACTCCTTGCATTTAGGTAACAATGGGAATTTCTCTACGGCTGTTTTTCCTTCCTTTGCTGAATCTGTTCATGCCCGAGTATCTCTGCTGTCTTTGAGCACAGCACTTGAGATCAGAAGCTTCATACATTCTCATATTTAGTTCTATGGCCTTGAATAAAAACATTAATGCTTTTCCTTTCCTCTTTGATCTGTAGAATGTGGCTATTCATCCTTAAGTGTCTCTTGTATTAATTGTAGTTATTAATAGTTGTATTGATTACTATTTAATGAATTCAAATTAGTGTTGTGGACAAAAATATTCTCAATCATGCAGAGAGGAAACTGGAATTTCAATTATATTAAAAGATGTTAACTGAAAATATACTTGTGTTCCAAGCTGCAACAAACCCAAAGAATTATGAAATTGCCTTAAAAAACACAGAAGTCACACTCAATTTTGTGTCAAGAAAATATTTTCCGTTAGATCTTCTAGTGGAATAACGAAGTAAATTGCAAAACAAAAAGTGACTTCAAAATAGAATAAAAAATCCAGTATCAAAATATTTTAAAATGAGGATCTGCTTGATCAACTCTAGTTTCAGGTATTAGAATTAATCTTATATTGCTGGATCACTTTAAAGACGACAAAAATGGTTTCACTGTTAATCTACCAAGAGCTAAGTGATGCGACAGTTTCCAAATGACCCAGAGCCAAAAGAGCCTCCACACCCCCTACACACAGCTTTTTACTTCTTCAGGTCCCATGTCCCTCACAAATCAATTAGTCTCCACCACAGTAATTACACTATTTTTAAAAACAAATTGACTTGTCAAGTCAGTTCCTCCATAACACCCTCAGTGTCTTCAGGGATGTTCCTTTTAACAGAGGACGACAGCAGGCAGAAGCAGCAGTGAGCTTCCACCTGCCCCAGTCCCCCCTTGCTACAGGGACTGCGACTAAGCCAGGATTCCATTTCCTCCTGTTTAACATCATATACGGAAAACATCAACACAGGAAAATAGCAATTCATATCCTTCATCTCATTTTACCACCATGTTGACACCGGGTAGCATTTAATACCTGCAATTTTTTGTGGAAGAGTATTCACTTTAGGACTAAACCAAAAAGCCCCACAGCAGCCACAGCCACCTACTAACTCTAGTCTCCTGGCTCTAAGGGAATTCCCTTTAGCAGAATCAAAGTGACACACAGATAACAATCCAAGTTTGGCTACTTGTGACTTGAGAAGCAAAAGCCTCACAGCGAAATTAATCCAACTGTGAAGTAATATGGCATGTAACCTGGGGCGAGAGACAGGTAAAAATCAAACGAGCAAGTTCAGAAGAAAGGGAGTTGACCCACAAGGGAATACTCTCCACACCAGAGAAAAAGATACAAGGCAAAGACTTCCTACTTTGAAGATTCCTTGAATGTGGCACTTTCCCCTTTAATCTTCTTTAATAAAAGATCACCTTTCTCTTGACAGCCAGCTCATGAAACAGTGATCAGCATATCCTGCCCTAACCCACCAGAGGCGCGCACTGTGTTACTGGTGCTGGCATTGCTGCCAAACCCCTCAGGTAGCGTAAAGCAGTCTATGAGCCCTTAAACAGTAGTCCAGCAATTTACACCAGTGGAAACTCTGCTCTAATGACTCTGCAATGATTTATACCAGCTAAATGTCAGAACCCACTAGGGGAAAAAGAGATGAACACTCTTGAAAGGATAGCATCAAGAAAAATGTTTCTTCTTCCCTGGGCATGACAGCTAGAATAACTAAAACTAACACTGTACACTGATGGAGACTGTTGAAGAGCCATAGGAAACCTGAAGTACCAATCAGCTTCTCATTGTTACAAGGAAACACTGAGATGGAGAACCGAGATGGAGAATTGCTACCATGAGCCTGATAGTGCCTGTGCTCAGCACAAGGGCTGTCACAGGCACTGGTGCAGACGTTTTCCTCAGGGTGTTCTGTAGGTAACATCACCAGTCTTGAGTTAGGAAGTGTTCCTCCAGCAAAATCATCAGCAGAGCAGGTTGCTACTATCTGCAGTATCTGCAGTGGGTGAGAAAAGCTTCCTCTGACTCCCACCCCCTGCTTTCTTTTTACTCTTTCAGTCTAAATGTCAGCAACTGACAAAACAGCCACTCCTTCCATTGCTTTATCAGTGCCATGGCAAAGTAATATGCAGGCTGGGCCCTTTTGACAAACAAATATTTAAGGACAAGTCTCACAAGGCTTTTTTGCTTCATCTCATTTGTGTTATTTCAGTCTGTAGCTTTATATAAAAAGAAAACCTCTCTAGGGAATGAAATACCAAATAATACCATGGTTTTTCAACTACATTCAATAGTTTGCCTACTTGTCCTCAAGTCATTGAGAAAAATACTTTATAAACCATAAATGAGATAAAAAAAAAAGTAGGCAGTATACTTTTATAGAAGTAATGTGGGTTTATGTTTGTCCTTTATAACATGGGCACATTTTAAAGGAACTCCTAAAAATTAAATTTTATTTAAATTAAAGACTAAAACTTAAATACTAAGCACTGATGTATGTATCCCAGGGTTAGTATGTGTCACAGATACACAGAGACACATAATGAGTTGATGGCAGAGATTTCATAATACGTAATTAGAAACTGGACTGCTGGAATCCTGCTTAAGATTTTCTTAACAATTCATTAACCCTCTGAACTATTTAGGTGTGGAATCTGAATATATTTAGACTAGGAATTTTTTCTTGGCAGCCTGATCCAGTAGGAGAATAGGCAGCTAAACCAGGGTGGTACTGTGGTTTTAAGTGCCTAAATGTTAGTTCTTTTGCTGACTTGTGTCCTGTTCCCAAAGAAATGAGCAAGAATTAAGCAGTTAGATTTCCAAATTTCTCCTTATCCTTTTGTCTAATTATAGAATTACCTAACAAGCATCAAAATAGCATCTTGAATCACTTCACCTTTCTCCTTAAACAACTGTTGCCAAACGGTGCTGCATGGATCACCAGATACCCACACAGTACTTTGTGGTGGTCTAGGAAGATCTAGTGAGTCACTGCCTGCCTCTTTGCCACCTGTTACACTGTATCAAAAGCAGCTGAGAAAAGGGAATTTCACTTTCCAATTGTTCATGTGAAGAATTGCCATTAGCAGACATACCCTGTTTGGTCAGCCCTGAAAGCAAGAGAATCCTGCCCTAGGAAACTATTCTGACACAGCAGTTCAAGCTACTCATGGGAGGTCAGATGAAGCAGTTCTCCCCAGTGCTGTACAGAGGTTCTGCTTCTGCCTGTCCTCCTGAATGCTGAGACTAGAGAATGAAGGAAAATAAACACGGATTTCTGCCACCAAAAACCTCAGCCTCTCCCAGTGCAGGTAAAGATGGACCCTTCTGGCTAGGACTTGTAAGCAAACTTCTAGATGTGCTGAGGGCAGCTACTAGAGACATATGTACACAAATTAACTATATTTCAAAGCATCCATTTCTTTCTTCTCTCCCCCAGCTCCCCCCAACCATGAAGTAATAATTAATGGGTGGAACTCGTATACTGACCTCATCAACGTTCTCAAATGCATTGATGACATCATATGGCAAGCATGAGAGCAGATCGATCACAAACCAGGTCTTCAGGTAATTCATGCGAATGAGCTTTGGGTCAGAGATCACCTCTCCTGCTGGCCCCACAAAGGTGGTATGGAAATTAAGCACAATGTCCACCAAAAAAATGACATCTACAATGCTGTCGACAACCAGCCATGCCACATTGTTCTGTTTGGTTTTAAAGGAGACGTTGTAAGGGACCAAAATAGCAGTGTAGAAGGTTAAAATCAAGATGATCCAGTCCCAGGTAGTCTTGAAAACACAATAATGCAAAATGATATGTGGTGGAGTCTTTGGTGCCTCTTGTTTGTACTGTGGGAGGATTTCCGAGCCCAGCTGCAATACCTGTAGTCACAGAGATTTCAGAAGAAAAAGAAAATATGCTTAATGTATTGATGCTATTTTTCACACTGTAGATTCTCAAGCTCAGTATAGCAGTTGATTAAAATACAGGCCCATTAACTCTTCTTATCACCACCAAATGCTAAGCAAGCCAGGATAAGTATTCTGTTAAACAAATCAGCATCAACCTAAGACCAGTTGTTTCTTTTAATGCCATTAGTTACTTTTTGACACTAAGCCTATGTCCTGGGTCTCCGAGACATCCAGAGGCAGCTCCTTCAGCAGTCTAAATAAAGGAGACAGATAAATGATGGGCAGAAAGGCAGTTGCAAAGAGAAATCAGTGGCAAAACCAGGAACAATACCACAACTTCTGAGTTCCAGTCCAGCACTGGGATCACTGGACCACTCTGTTTTTCCACACTGTCTATTTAACTCTTCATTATACTGTACCTGAAACAGTCTTATAATACAATCTATCATGAATGCACAGGTCATTGTTCCTCTTCTCTGGGCCGCACAGAACCAAAGCCCATAGTAACTATCATTAGATTCAATAAACCCATTTTGAACCTTAATTTGTCACTGAGAGAAAAATCAGTGTTTTCACTATCTGATGGTGCGCAGTTGAGGCACAATGCAGTTAGGTCTGAATTCATAAAGGCTGTAATCAGCAGAAGATCATCTGTCAGCATGTGTTTTAAACGCTGGACCTGAACCTGGGCACAGCTCCAAGTGTTCTGCGTAACAGCAATCTTGATCAATGCTGCCCATTTTAAGTCTACTGTCTCCCCAGTTCTGCACACTAGTGCAAAGAGTGTACATTTAATCCTTGGGAACTAAAGTTTCTTTTACATGCCAATGGACATGAATGAGTTTGTTTATAGCTATGGATATACATGAGGGGGAAACCAACATGAAGGGCCTGTCTGCAAATAAATTACATTTTAAGATGAAATTTACTCTGGGTGAGTTATGGATGAAAACTGAAAAGAAGACAGAGATTTGCTCAAGTGGGGTGTGTTTGCTAAATGCCAGACTCTCAGAACCTGTGAGAACTCTTCAGGAGCATGGTTCCTTTCTCACATTTATTTACAAGTAGTTCAGAGCAGTTGGGAGCAGAGAAGGAAATTAAATGGCCACCTTCTCCGGGAGAAGATCAGACAATACAGCTATAATAGGAGGATGTCTTCCTTTCATGCTCCTTATCTCAGCTTTTTAAACGTCAATTATTTAGACAGGGATTTTTATCTGCAGGCTTTTCTGAGTGCTTTCTGCTATTCTTTTTCTGTGAACTGGTGGGCTTTTTTTTGCAGCAGATTGAGCCAAGGGGACTACAGAAAACAATCAGCTACAAGACTCCTACTTGGACAAAACAGACTCAGATCAAGTTCCCTGATGCTTTGAATCTCACATAATCACTTACTCTTGTGCACAGCGGGGGTCAGACACTTTCAGATCACAGTCCCTTGCACATGTGTAATGACAATGGGAAGTACAAGCCTGCTGACTTTAAGCCCAGTATGTTCTCCAGAAGAGAAGCAGCATGACCTGCTCAGAGACCTGCGCATTAGCACAGAGGCATCAACAGTTTGAAGACAAAAGAACTTAGTATTTTCGTTTCACCGAGGAACCTTTTCCTCTAAGAAGAACCCCTGCAGACCAAACAAGGACTCAGACATGTCTACTGCAATACTAAGTACTCTGCCACTCCTGACCCTGTTTCACACAGGTTCTCCATGCTACAAGAAGAAGAAAAAGAAGAAAAAGAAAGCAAAATAAAAATGTTAGAAGTTGCCTTTTGAGAGGAGCTGGAAGCAGCACAGGACAGAAGTGGGAAGCACTGAGCTGCTACTGGTTTGTATGAGGATTTGCATGAGTAGCAGCTCTAACATACAATCCTAAGCCTGAAATATGCTTCACTGGGCAAGGAGAGTCCTCTGCAACATTCATTCACTGGAGTAACTCATCACCAAAACCAAGCACTTTCTATCATGTAGCAACATTTTCAGCCAGTTAACTGGATTTCAGCTCGAATGCTGAGATTTTACTAGCGTGGGGAGATTGTATCATCCCTTAAATGCAGGGTGAACACATAATTGCTTCTTTTGCAACCACATGGCTCCTAGAGCTTATTTTATTTAGCTTCTGATATAATATGAAGAAGTCAGACATTTTGGTAACCATTTCAATCAGCACAGGAACCTCAACCATGAAACACTGAACAAAAAAATCCTCTTAGTTCTATTCGGATTGATTCTTACACATACATACATCAGTTCTAGACTGAGAATTGTATCATGCACTCCATTTTGGCCACCAGTGGTCTCTTGGTACTCCAAGAACTTGTGGAAATCTTGCATCATCCAAACTAAAGTTACTGGAAAATGTACTAACGTATTCCCATATACCTGAATAACACAAACAAAGGCAAGAACAATCTCTTTTGGGTAATAAAGAAGGGGCTAAATTATGGTGTCCATTATTTTGCTGTAAATCAAAAAAAGAACTTACAGCGAGGCCAGTAGAACTGCAGGGATGTAAAACTGAACTGAATGCAGAGCAAAACAGACTTCTAGTTTCAACTCATTAAGAAAACAAACAACTTTGCTGCTTCAGTGTTTTAAAATGCCATCACCAAGTACAAAGCACTCTCCTCAGCTTGTTTGACATTCCAGGGCTACAGCACAGGAAAATCAAAAGATTGATGTCTTCTTCCTTTTTTATTTAGAAAGTAAATGTACTCTAAGCTACCTGAATGCCTAGGGACCTTATTAATAAGTCTTTTGGATTTCCATTACCACCTTGGAGTCTCTGGTTAAGCTCCAGCAGTGGCTGGCTCAAGTGACCAGGGGCCATGGCTTTAGCTGTCTCCAGTGGAAGGCTGTGCACCAGCACTGTGGGTATGAATCACAGAATGGTTTGGGTTGGAAAGAACCTTAAACTCATCCAATTCCAACTCCCTGCCATAGGCAGGGATGCCTCACCCTAGACCATGTCACCAAGGCTCTGTCCAACTTGGCCTTGAACACTGCCAGGGATGGGGCAACCACAACTTCTCTGGGCACCCTGTGCCAGCGCCTCAGCACCCTCACAGGGAAGAGCTTCTGCCTTAGCTCTAACCTGAACTTCCCCGGTTCAGTTTGAACCCATCACCCCTTGTCCTGTCGCTCCAGTCCCTGATGCAGAGTCCCTCTGCAGCATCCTTGTAGCCCCCTTCAGACACTGGAAGCTGCTCCGAGGTCTCCACGCAGCTTCTGTTCTTGAATGGAGGGGCAGGGACAGGGCAGGAGAGGGATGACATAGGGATATCAATCACTCACAGCAGGGGGAAAGCCACCTGCAGCAAACCTGAGGCATCTCCCATCTCTTGTTTGGGTGGGGGTGGCAAGTTCCAGCCCTGGCTCCCTCTCATTACATCACTAAAGCACACCTTGTAAAACCACTCCATCTTGCTTGCACTGGTAGAGATATGAACTGTCGTTTCACAGCTTGAACCACAGAACACCAGGTTGGAAGGGACCTCAAGGATGATCTCGTCCAACCCTTCTAGGCAAAGCACAACCAAGACTAGATGTCCCAGCACCCTGTCCAGATGAGATGTCCAGCTTGAGATAGAAGAGCATTGTCACAGCTCACACCACTTCTCCTGGGAAAAGCAACTTGCTTTACATACTGGCAAAAGTCTTGCAGCCTCCTGGACTGCAGGCCAAGAGCTTTCAAAGGCACCAAATTCTCCTTTCGTTGAAGGAAGAGAAAAACACCTGTAACGAAGGTTAATTATCTTGGAGAACAAGCATGTGCTTTTAGCATTAGGCACAACAAGAGAACCCAGTGCTGTACAGGACCAACAAAAAGATGTCCACAGAGCTTTGTGCTAAAGACCTAGGGTTTGTCAGGTTGCTCTACTGGGAGCTAGGAGAGCTCTTCTCTCCACTTTTTGCCACACAGTCTATTCCATCCTACACACATATACACTACCCCTGGGTTATCTGGAGATTAAGAGCTATAAGCCCCACTCTCCTGGTACCATATACCAAAGCCAGATAGATCAAAGAGAAGCCCTATTCCAAGCTGCTCTTGCTGCACTCCAACCTCTAGGGAAAGTAGTGCTAACCTGAGACACAGTGGCTGCTGAAGCAGTCAGGTGTGGTTAGCCACCCACATGAACTAACTGAATTCAAACTGCTTGTAAATGTACTTCTCCTGGAGAGGAAAAAAAAACCCACAAAAGATGAATACAAAATGTACACAATTATATAAACCGATATGCTGAGCTTCCCCCCATGTGCACTGAACAAATCTTTCATTACTATTCTTCTCTAAATAACTGAAACAGCCCTGGGTTTGGAAGATACTTCCCTGTTATGCAGTTATACCATAGTAAAAGAAATATTTGTTTCAGAGAGTTATTAATGAAAGTATTATTCCAATTACTTATGATTCATCAGCCACCACAGCTGTATTATCTGCATTTATTATTTGTGGTAATGATGCATGATGTTTTAATAGCTCTCCAAAGCCAGAGAATATTATTTCAAGAGCAGAAATGACAAATTTCATCATGAATTTCACAAGGCTGTGTTTTGGGTTTTTTTAAACATACAAAATGAAAAAGCTATCCTAGATTTGTTACAGACTGGTGAACACATCACCAGTCAGGGCTTGTAAAAGCGCATCAACAAGTGGTTGCGATTTATTTTTAAGACTAAAGGACTGGGAAGAAAAAAAAAACCCAAACCACACAATCATCCATTTTCAGCTTAATCTCTCCCTTTTGTGTGTTCAACTGCACATATTTGCTTTCTCTCACTCTCCCTTACTTTTTGTTTTCATAGGCACCCACACAAATTGCTCCTAAGCCAAGGACTAGGTGCTAAGCCTCAACTTGAAGTAGATTTTAATGGCAGTTATAAGTCCCTGGTAAACAAAGTTAAGAAAAAAAAAAAAGGCAGAAGTTCCATTATTCAGCAGTGCTGCTGAGCACCACTGTCATTTTTCTGCTTTTACTTCATTCTTTAGATCATGACACAATCTTGTTTATCCAGAACTGCCTGGTCAATGTACAGAGTACACCAGCTAACAGCACAGGTGCAGATGACACATGCACTATGCAGTGACCAGGAAGAATGGTCCCTCCAGTCAACTCCTTGGTGATAAAGCCACAGAAATGAATAAATTACTTCACACTCTTCTTGCAAGATGTACTCTCAGAGTTCCCCAACAACCCTGCATTAACTGCTTAATTAATTTAAGCAGTTTTCATATGACTGCTGTTAGAGAAGTCAGGCTAAACAAACCTACACACACTGGCAAAGCCAGAGGCTGAGGCTTGACACTGCCTGTATTACTCACGACCTGCAGATAAACCAAAGTGGTTTGTCACTAACACCTTCCTTAAACTAACACGTTATAAAAGGCAAAAGAAATTGTAAGCTTTTGTGGCAAGCTCCTGGTTTGTATTTGTTCAACACTTTGCCCCACTCAGGTTCTAGGACACTACTGGCTCCTCAGACATTCAAAAATAAGTGATAAAGCACTAAAATAGACACAAATAATATCCCAACAAACAAAGAGCCTCCTCAAACAAACAAGGTGGATGCGCAAGGCCACAGCAAGTAGGAAAAGAAAGAGAATGGATGTTAATTTGAACTTAAGATTCTAAATAAACTACTGCAGAGATGAAGCAGGAAAAAAAAAAGGCTTTGAAAATACAACAGGGAGCAGTTAGAGATCCCGTGTTCAATATTACCAGCAGATCTTTCCAGAATAGGAAGCCTGGCACCCCAGATATCTTCAAGGGGAGAAAAGTGAGCCTGTCTGTATGATCATCTGCACTCTGCTTTTCTCTAGTGTAGTTCTATTAACTTAAAGTTAAATTAGGGCAGATACACAACAAGGTACCTAATATCACAGTTGGGGCTAATGTTCTTTTTAAACTAATGACTGCAATATTCAGTCAGCAATTAAAGAAACCCATTTCAGACATGTGAACTATACACTTGCCCTTTATTATTTGTAATGAATCAATTGCCTGTGCCACTTAGAATGCTTGCAAAGACTTGTTGAGCACATGTGGCTTGCAAGGAGTTTCAGTTATGTGCAGTAACTTAGGTCCAGACTAAGGTTTGCTAAGCCAAACAGAATAACCTCTGACCCTTTGCCTTACATTCTACTGCCTATATTATAGCATGAACTAAGGGTAGACTTCTCTCAAGAGAAGGAAGGATTATTTGATGCTAAGTCTTGAGTAGGATTAAGAGGGAGACTATTCCAAATTCCTCAGGTTGGACATGGGATAATCAGATGGTATTCCTACAGTAGTGTGTCCATGTGAATGTCTGCCCCCCTATGCTAGTATGATTTGTTATTTCTGTGCCTCCAGCAGAAATCAATCTCCCATTCTTGAGTGTATCTACATTAAATACTGAATAGGTAAGGTCCTGTCCATGGGAATTTCATTGTCACATGTGATAACAGTACAGGGCTGGGCAGGAGTTATTTATTTTGCATAGAAACTAAGATGTAAACAGGGCAAAATTAAGAGAGCACTGTTTATACAGACACTGCATGGAAGCCATCAGTGGCTTACAGCTCCACCTACACAGGAAGATTAAGAATTACTGACAAAGAGTTACAGCTGCTGCCATAGCATTCACAGCAACAGATGAGACAGGAGTGCCACGTCCTATGGCCATGCTGTCACTAACACTGTGTTGAGACTTCCCCTAAACTGCTTTCACACCAGGGGGACCCTGCTACTGGCCCAGGAGACAGCTACAGGAAACTTGGAACAGTCTCTCCCCCTCGTGGTGAAAGCCCTACAGCCCTAAGTACTCCACCGAGCCTCCTCTGCCCGGTGCTTTACTCAGAACATTGAGAAACTACTTAAATCACAAGGTTTCATTCTCCTAATCTGTCTACAGTGTTGCTTGTGGCATCTTACAGCTACTCCATCCATAAAACCAGTAAGTCAAACATACATTTTAACCAGTTTGTAAAGCAGGATAGGGATTCCACTGAAGAAGAACTAGACATCAATGAATGCAGAGAACAACCATGTCAAGGATTCTCCAGAATTTCCTTCCGTACTGGCCTGTTTCTTTTACCTCAGTGTTACTCAAGTGAATAGTCCAAGATCCTACCAACATCAAGGTTCTCAGAAGAACAGAAACTAAGCAAAAAAGTATTACTTCAGTAATAATGGCATTATAATACTTTGCTGAGATACAGAACACACCACCACAATTAGGTTACATGAAGTCTTTTGGACACCTGCTTCCATTCCACTGTCATGGGACACATTTCACAGCACACATGCCATGTTCTGAGCTCCTATGCCTGCCACCAGCCTAGATTCCCAGGGCAAGGGAGACAGACACAAAGACAACATACCAGAGGGGCTAAACCCATTTCTTTAGGGTCTCTCAGGGAAAGAAAACGTTACCTCAGCGAGCCGTGAATGCTTGTGGACGTTCTCTCCTTTCTGCACGCTGGGAGCAAGCTGCTGCAGCACACCCCGGCTGCTTGTGAGGGCACGGGTCAGGCGGGCAAACTTCCCCCAACCTTGAGAAAACATGCAAGATTATACATGTTACCACAAGAAAAAGCTGCAAGTGTATCACAGGAAGTGTCTCTCAAAAAAAGAAGAGAAAAAACAAACTTAAACCAGAGCTAAATGCTTTAATACTGACCATGAGGGAGTATAATTTAACCAAGTACCAGCTAAAAGCAAGTCACAAAATAGGTGTCAGGGTGGTAGGGTAAAAAAAGCCAGGACTTGCAGTGCCTTAGTATTCAATGGCTCGCCAAGAGTGCTGCTACATGAACTGCATCTTTTGTAAGGATAAATGTCCACTTTACAGTTATCTTCTGTTAAATCCAGTGGGCAGATCTGGACCTCACAGCACTGCAGAACACACTCCAGGCTAAACAAGATGTAGGACTAGAATCACACACAGTGAAAATTACAGATCCTTATAAGAGAAATTAATCTGGCCTCAGTTGTATCAGCCACAGACCTAGCATAAGCAGAGGAATATGCATAAGATAATAAAAAGCAGAGCAGTCAAAGCAAAACAAAATCATTAATTTTATCCTCTAAACAAAAAGGAGAAATACACAAATACATTTTCTCAAACTCTAATAAAATATTTAGCAGCTTCTGGCAGAGAAGTCAGATGCTGAATTTTAATTCAGAGTATTTTTTACAGTCATTTCAAATACCCCTCAAAATAGAAGACCTTGAATGACAGTCACAAGAGCTAGTTTCAACTACAACCTTTATAAGCAGTACTTTGCCACAAGAGAAACTCAGGCAGGGTATACACCTGGGTATTTTTGGTACTCTGAAATGAAAGTATCAGTGTGTTTAATCCCAGTTTTGACAAATGGTAGCACCACCTGGGAACTGTTGAGCAGTCTCACCTCCTACTTCAAGTGAGGATGCTCAGCACTTGGCAGATTCCGTCCTTAAAGAGGACCTGGCTCTGGAAAAAGTCCCCTCCACATGATGGGTTTATCACCAGAAGAAATGATACTATGATCCAGTGACTGGTTTTAAAGAGCAGTCTGAAGCTTAGCCTGCAAGTATCCATCCTTACAGGAATATGAGTGGTTAGAATACTGCCCAGTATTTTGGACATATCCTTGATTGACATCAAATCTGGATGGAGTTTGCAGGAACATATTTGGTAATTTGAGAGATGAGAACAAAAAAATAAACTACATGGATCCAGTATTGAACAAGATCTTCCAGGGCACTGAAAAGAAACCTGAAAAGAGAGTTCACATTATCCCCTTTATGAATATGCAGAATGGTGCATTTGTTAAAGGGAAGGGCCAAATTCATCAGACCTCTGCCAAATCAAGAATAAAACTGAGTATTTTCTTATGCCTTAAAGCATGTTTTAAAGCAAGTCCATCACTGGTAATTTAAAAGCCAAGTTGAGTAAAAATAGCCAACACTTTCAGGCAGTGTTCAGCAACAAACAGCATGAATGATTTCCATCCAGGAAGCCAGATCTTTCCTGATAAACCCATGTAAGATTAGCTGCTATACTAAAGGACTGTTCCTCAGATAAATAAGTCAACATGACAGAACTTTAAGTGAGGTCAGTTTGTCTCTGGTTTAAACCTGACCCAGAGCACTTGATTTCTCACACTACATCTCCATGGAAGGTGGTGGGTTTTGATGGAATTTTTTTTGTTTCTTTTTTTAAAGACACATTTATAGAGAGTATTCTTTCTCTACTGCACATGACGAAATCCAACTACAATTGATAAGCTAAGGATGAAGGCCTTACTACCTCCTTAGTAAAGCCAAGAGACGTTAAAAGAATGGATCAGATGGAAGAAACCATTCGTAACAGCTAATCTGCAGGTGATATAAAACAAATTAACCTTTGCAAAGCCAACACAGCTACAGCAATTTACACCAACCTAAAACTTCACTTCTGCAGAACTTACATGCCTGCACTCCTATGTTTTCTTCCTGGTTTATAGAACCATGGCAGAAGGCTACCAGCACTGACATATTTTCAGTGGTGTAAATCATAGAATCCCAGGTTGGGTTGGAAGGGACCTTAAAGCTCATCGAGTTCCCATCCCCTGCCACGGGCAGGGACACCTCACACTAGAGCAGGTTGCTCC